GTGTACAATCAGCTGCCCTTCTGCTCTATATTATTAAGTGGAACTATAAATTGAGTCCTAGAAGGGAGCTGTGGAATGACTAATATGTGTTGCCATGCTGGTTTTAGTGGAAGTGACCATTTAGTTACCTCAGTTGCCCTTCTGCTCTATCTTTGTTGAGTGAAAAGTTTAAATGGAGTCCTAGAAGGGAACTGTGAATTGTGAAATGACTAATAGAGGAAACCGGCCGTGTTTTCGGGTAAAGAAGTTGGTCTGGAAGTTGTGTCCCGTTGTCCCTACAATTGAAATTGTGTACAATCAGCTGCCCTTCTGCTCTATATTATTAAGTGGAACTATAAATGGAGTTCTAGAAGGGAGCTGTGGAATGACTAATAGAGGAAACAAAGTTAATACATTGGACTGGTGGCCGTGTTTTCGGGAAAAGAAGTTGGTACAGAAGTTGTGTCCCGTTGTCCCTACAATTGAAATTGTGTTCAATCAGTTGCCCTTCTGCTCTATATATTATTAAGTGAAACTATAAATGGAGTCCTAGAAGAAGGAATGACTAATAGAGGAAACAAAGTAAATACGAGGATTGGTAGTCAAGTTTGAGAAAAGTTGGTTTGCAAGCTGTGTCCCATTGTTCCTTCAGTTGCCCTTCTGCTCTATATTATTAAGTGAAATTATAACTGAAGTCCTAAAAGTTGGTCTGCAGTGAATGGCTTTGTGGACAATGCAAGGTTGGTAGAGCTTTATGCTGAAGAAATGAATGAGACGGAGAGTGAGTGTTGGTACCTGTTTGATGGAATCTTACGCTGCTTGCTGTATGTGTTTGTGTAAGCTGGAGAACATGGATTAATAAACATGTTGTCTTTTATTTTGTTGAGCAATTAATATGTTGTCCTACTTGTGACTATCTCTCCCTTGTGCTGAACTACATTGGAAGTTTCAGTGGGAAGTAAAATTTTGTTTTGTGTTTGCTGCCAAACCAACCATGTTGCCGATATCTCCATCATCTTTAATGGGAATGCCGACCTACATGTTCTTGTTGTTATTAAGACCGAACAAGTACTATATTTGTAATGAAATGACTATGTGGCTGGTCATCCAGGGGTATGGTTCTGGAATTACACTCCAAAGTGATTTTCTTAATAATGCGTCTTACCTCAAGACCTGTGGGTTGTGCGGGGTTTCAGCTTTTCTTGATTGAGGGCGACTACATTCAGCTAATAGAAGGGGCACAAGAGATGATAGCTGCTACAGCTGCATCCTCCACTCTTTACTCGTCTTTCTTGCCTACCATCTTCCTAACCCAATGGTGCAGTCTCACTGGGCCAAAAAGTTTCCTTCTACAGACTCCAGCCACCTAAATGGTGCTCGTTTTGGTGGCCCTGGTTGCATGTAAACATGAAGATACTAAGCAAATCGAAGAATAATACACAGGATATGAATGTGGGAGCTTATTTGGATAGATCCAGTGTGGGCGGCAGTGGTCAGAGCAAGGTTGCAACTCATGCTAGACCTAATTACAGTTTTGTGGGGAAGCAGCAGGGAAGGTACAGTCTAGAATCCCTTCCAAAAGTCTTGTTGCCGAGATGGTTTATTTCTTTCTGATAAAGGGCATAGACATTATCTGTCAGTTGATGAGTTATTGATTTTGTGTTTCTTTTGCCACTGTAAGCATCGAGACAGAGAAAACAGAATTATGTAAGGGAAAACAGTTTGAATCTATTGAATGATGATAGTAATTCTTTGGTCTTCTAGGAGGTAATGTCGAACTGTATGTGTCCTTGTGGAGGATACTCCGGCAGATCAGTGGCCGGTTGTGGTTTTGTTGAGTGAAGGAAATCTTTTGGGAATACTTACCTGCTGGAATATGAACGATTAACTTATTGGATGTTTGAGGAAAAACATGGTCTTTCAGGAATTTGTTTATTTGTTGTCTTCAGTGTGGTGACTATATACCGATTTGTGTTGCGTTATCTATTTCGTTGTTTTTCTGCACAGTCTTTTGATGCGTTTACAAAACCGAAAAGGAAATTCTGTCTCGCTGCGTCATGGACATTTTGTTGCAATAGTATCTCTGCACTTCATATCTGCAGTGAAGAAAAAGCTAAAATGACTGGAATACGTTGGGTGGTTGCTTTGCACAACGTTGGGTCTTTTATCACTGAATTCCCTTGAATTTCCTCGGAATGTTTATGCTTCAACTTCATTGAGACTTCTGCATGTTGTTGAATTTGGAAGTCCTCTCTTTTCTGGTTAGCCCTTTCACTCTTGCACAATCCTGAAATATCGTAGGGAAAGATCAGGGAGTTTTCGACTTTGTTCTAAAATTATGCTAACACCAGTGTTCCAGTTAAACGTAGTTGGGTGTGCTGCAGTTGAGTATGGCTAAAATCGATAGTTCTGTATAGATAAGAGATGAGGTGTTATCAGGAGAAGTAGAATAGTTTTGTGGGGTATACTAAGTCTTATAACTAATGTCCTGCATTAGTTAGCTAAGTCATTTCTCTCTTTCAGGCTGATCAATAATCCAACCAGAAGGTAATCTGACGATTTTTGAGTATGCAGTTTGTCTATATCTGCTTATTTCCTTTCTCTGGGAACAACATAGAAGTTGTTAATTCTCTGTTGCACCCAGATGGGTGCCTTTCCCTCTTGCCTCGTCTTCCCCTAAAATTGATGTGACGTTGGCTTGGCTTTAGTAGATGAGTTAAGTCATAAGTGGATCAACAAGCTTGATCGAGGGACTTCCAAATTACACTCCAAAGTTATTTTCTTTCTAATGCGCTATTGTCTTACCCTAATACTTGTGGGCTGTGGGGGTTTTCAGGCACAAGAGATGATAGCTGCTACAGCTGCAGTTGCTAAAGTAGCTGTTGCAGTAGCTGCATCCTCCACTCCTTTCTCATCATTATTGCATACCATGTCCCTAACCCCAATGGCGCAGTCTCACCGGGCCAAAAAGTTACCTTCTACGGACTCCAACCAGTGTTAGTTTTGGTGTCCCTGGTGGCATGTCAGACATGAAGATACTATGCAAATCGAAGGATAATACTCGGGATATGAATGTGGGAGCTGATGTGGGCGGCAGTGATCAGATCAAGGTTTCAACTCATGCTAAGCCTAATTCCAGTTCTGTGGGGAAGCAGCAGGGAAAGCAGGGAAGGGTCTCTGGAAATGTGCCAACTTCTAGAAGATAGTAAGCACCGAGACCGAAAACGAGAAATTATGTAAGGTAAAACATTTTGAATATATTGAATGATGATAGTAGTTCTATGGTCTTCTAGGAGTAATGTCGAACTGGATAGTCCTTGTGGCGGGTACTCTGGCAGATCAATGGCCAGTGGAGGTTTTGTTGAGTGGAGGATATCTTTTGGGAAATGCTTACCTGCAGGGGAAATAGAACGATTAACTTATTGGATGTTGATGAAAAACTGCCTTTTGGGAATTTGGTTTCTTTGCCGTCTTCAGTATGATTAACTATATTTCGATTTGTGTTGCGTTATCTATTTTCATTGTTTTCCGGCGGTGTCTTTTTGGTGCGTTTACTTTACCGAAAAGGAAATTCTATAGTTTTGATGGGAACAAGGCTACTTATTTATTCATTAGGGTTTCCCGAGGATCGCGCTCCTCCTCATCCTCCTCGTCTTCGCCTTCGTCGTCACCCGCCCCGACGGCAGCTACGACGTCCCCGGCCGCGGATACAGGGAGTTCCGGATCCAAGGGTTCTCGCCCTGGGTGCGGAATCACATCGTCAATTCAAAAAATTGGGGCGCCATTCGTGCTTGCCTCGCCGAGACCGACGTCTGCTCCAGATTGACGAGTAGGCCGTACCTCTCGGCGGAGCAGTTCTTCGCCGGCCACATCTCTCCCCTCCAGATCTGGTCGGCAGGGGCGATCCGGAGTTTCAGGGGATCCGGCCCAGGAGCGAGTGGGATCCGGCGGTGCTGAATTATACATCGGGAGAGGGGATTAGGCAGAAAATTTGAGAGAGAACAGAGGCGGTGGTAGGCGCAGGGAAGCGGAAAGTACAAGAGTCAACATCACTTCGGCTATCGTAAATTCATGTCTATGACGGCAGCTTTCGTGTCGAAAGCATGGCATCTCGTCGACGACCAGAACAGGAGCTCGTCCATGGCTGTCGCCGGCAATAAGTCGCAGGCTTGGTTAGACGTGGAGTCACCGACGGCGGCTCGGCGGTGTATTGGTTCAGGGAAGTTAAACGATTTACGTTACCGCAGTTTTTTATTATTTTAGCATTTTCTTAGCTTTTTGGTAATAGTATTTATTTTTTTCATTTAGTATTTTCTTAGCCTAGGGAAGTTGAAAGGTTTTCTTGGTTTCTTAATTTAGTATTTAATTAGATTTGATGGTTTAGTTTCTAGGAAGTTATTAGGTTATCAGTATAGTTGTTAACTTTTTCAATCCTTTTAATGGCCTTTAATTTTACGAAAATCCGCCTTTTGCTATTTCAAAAGTTTCCGCTCATTTTTCTAAAATTGATTATGATGGTTCCTTCATTTTCGTCCGTTTTATTTTATTGCTTCTCTTTTACTATACTTAAAAAAAATATTAGTTTGACATAGTTCTCAATTCGGAGTATCCGACTAAGCCTTGCTGGCTTGTTTAAGTCCATTTGGTGGAGCTTAGTTGGGCTACGGTGGGGCCTCTTGTGTGTTTGTTTGTTTGTTTTTTTGTAGGGGTACGCAGAAGAGCTCCCGATATCGGAGAGACTTCCTCAGTCAGGTGACTTGGCTCATGATCGGGATGGAACTATCTTGCAGGATACTCAGAACTTGGATTTTCTCTTTAGTTGGGTTTCTTACTGTTTTGTTCTCTGTCGTCTCATTAGGGCTGCCCATCATGTGGCATAAAAGGCCCTCTCATCGGGAGTTCGACTATTGGTCGACTCCCGCGCTCTTTTTATTTTCTTTGTATGTCTGAATTTATAACAACTGACTTTGCGAAAAAAAAAAAAAAAAAGGAAATTCTATCTTGCTGCATCATGGACATGATGTTGCAATAGTATCTCTGGACTTGATATACACAGTGAAGAAAAGCTACAATGACTGGAATACGTTGGGTGGTTCCTTTGCATAACGTTGCATTTTCCTAGCACCATTTCCTCATTGATGGCCTTTTATTACTGAATTCCCATGAATTCTGCCTATGATGTCCATGGATTAGCTAAGCCTGTTCCCTTGGGTGTACTTGAACTTTGAATCTGGAAATAAAGCCACTTGACCAACACAAAGTTGCTTCACAAAATCAACAAGCATGGGGCTTAGCCTAAAAAGGGAGGGGGATTGACGGAGATAAGTTCTGGTGTTGTTCAAAGTACATTTGACTGCGACATTTCAGAAAAGCTTAGTGGAAGTCCAGACATATACTGGTGCTCATTGGATCAGAGCGTTGTAGCAGCTGCTGCTGCTTTGGGTTGTTCATCTGAAAAGGATGTCGAAGAGCTTGAAGGTACATTGGTTGCTGTTGCTGCTGCTGGGGCCATTCAATTTGACCTTGTTATGCCTGCATGTAGTGTTGTTGTTGTTGCTGCTGCTCTCCTGTTGCATCGACGCCATCTGAAATGTATACATAAACACAGACACTAAGAGAGAGGATTTGATAACCAATTCGTTTGAACATGAGCAGTATAATAAGGTTTATTTAGGTTCTTCAAAGCATTTACCTGAATTTTGGTGGTGGTGGCGGTGTCGTCGTCCTCTTTGGCTGTGGTGGTGGTGGTGGCTGAGCATCAGCAATCTTAGCTAGGTACATCAGGTTCTGTTGTAGCTGGGTTTGCAAACTGATTCAACTCCCCGATTGCATATAGTGTTGAAAAGAAAGAAACAGAAGCTAGTTATTCTTTTCTGCTACAAAGTGATTCCAAGCACAATGGTTGTTTCCAAAATGTGTAGCATCACACTTGCTGATCCACTTAACTCATCTACTAAAGCGAAGCCAAAGACGCATCAATTTTAGCGGAAGGCGGCTTTTAAGGCGTGGCAGAGAATTACCAACTTCTATGTTGATTCCCAGAGAAAGGAAATAATCACCTTCTGGGTGGATTATTGATCAGCATTGAAGAGAGAAATGACTTATTCTAACTAATGTAGCACATAAGTTATAAGACCTGCATGCCCCACAAAACTGTTCCACTTCTCCTGATAACACTGTTCTCTTATCTTATCCACAGAACAACTTATTTTGGCCAAACTCAACTGCAGCACAGCCTACTATGTTTAACTGGAACACTGTGTTAGCATAGCTTTAGAACAGAGCTGAAAATTCCCTAATGTTTCCCTGTGATCTTTCAGGCTCGTGCAAGAGTGGAAGGGCTAACCAGAAAAGAAAGGACTTCCAAATTCAACAACAAGCATTAGTCATGCCAATCATTTGAGTCTGGCAAATGTCAGATAGCCAGTATGACCTTTAGCTTCCGAACAAGGCTTGGCCATCACTGGAAGAGCAGGAGCAAGAATACCACCATTGTCCCCCTGCAAACTGCTTCTATCACTGGAAGGCTGCTTCCTCTTCCCAGGACGAGAACCAGTAGAGATGCCTTTGTCTCCATCGAAGCTGTCCAGTTTGCCTTGTCGAACTTCGTACGTCCTCAGGAGTATCTCAAACGTCCTTATATCTTCAAGACAAGATCAAAGAGAGAGAAGAGATACATATATTTAAATGAGCCTTGCAACGGAAAATCTGAGCTAATAAAGGTCGGCTAGACCCATATGAATTACTGACATACCTGCATATGAAAAAAAGGAGTAATTTGTAGCAAAGAAGCAACAACTTACCAGTGAAGTTTGATCTCAGGGTTTCACAAGAGCGCTGCACTTGCTCTATGCAGGGTGAGAACGAGCACAACACACCATCTTGTCTCAACATTTTTGCGGCAGAAGGAATGGCCAGCCACGGCTGTGGTAGATCCAAGAATACAGCATCAACTGAGCCGACATGTTCCTCTGGAAATCCTTGACCCTGAATATCCCTAACCCCTACAGTGACATAGCTGCTGATTCCTGTCTTTTCAAAATCTTCCCTATCAGGAACAAAATGTCAGTTCCTTCACAAAGAACAAGAAGACGCTAGTACAACTGAAAGTTCAGCATCAGCATTGTGCATCAAACTTACTGCAGTAAGATCAGTTGCTAATGAAACCAAAATGAGACGAACTCAAGACCGCCTTATTAACAGACTTCTTTTGTTATATAATCACAAAAGCAACGAGGACAGCTACTATAAAGGACCGAAAATCAAATGAAGTCAACAATCTTATCAGACAACACATGAATGACAGTCTACTCACCTAGCTGAGGCAGCCCTTTGTTCATGGAAGTCAAATGTAAAGACATGTCCAGTTGGAGCAACAGCACGTGCAAGCGAGGTTGTCAAAGAACCACTACCCGTTCCAGACTCGAGCACCACACATCCAGGAACTACCTCCAAGTACATGATCACAAGCGAGATATCCGCAATGTAGAGAATCTGGGTTCGGTGGCTCAACACAAGAGTCCACAATTCAGGTGTTGGAGCCAGCAAATGAACAAACCCACCCTTGTTGCTGAACACCTTGGAACCAAAGGGCTTCCCAATCCAATCCGAGTGCTTGAACATGCCAAAACGGTTCTGAAGCACTGAACTCTCGCTTACTTTTACCGCCTTCATACTGTCGTGCTTCTCATACACAATGACCAAATCACCATTTTGAATGGTGCGAGTGAAAGATAACTTCTTCTCAGGATCGACAAGCAACATTTAGCTAAATACTACGATGACCCTGCAATGGGCATATGATAGCGTGAATACTTCAGAAGCTTCATCACCGCAGACAAAACTTCAGAAACGTTCATTAACAACTGAAAACCAGGCACACAATAGCCATGCACAGATGGAAATAACTCTGAAACAGAAAGCAGTTTAAGCTATACAATGCTTTCACCTAAGCATAAAGTAACCCCAAGTCGTAGAAGAGGCAGCAAAGCATACAAACGCTCTGAATGAGGAGGATGCAGACAAATTGAGGGATACGATTGAAGTAGAAGGAAAAATTGAAACTTTAGACCTACCTTAATCTGACGGATGAATTGAAAGCTGAGGGATCACTGCGGCGGCGGCGGCCGACTACTGACGGAAGCAGAAGGAGGAAGTTCCGGCGAGGCTAAAATTTTGAAGAATGGGGAGAAGACTGAGTGCAGAAAAGCGGCGGCAGTTTACGGTTTTCCGGGAGCGAGGAGAAATGGAGAATGAAGACGAAGCAGCGGGTAAAGAGTCCGGGCTCTGGAAGGAAACCCAAATAGAAAGCCTATACATTGCTGTCCAGCCCAAATACAAGGCCCAATTATTTTTACATTTTAGTTGCGGTTATTAATCCAAGAGGCCTGCTAGAAGTCCGCCACACTCGACCCAGAAAAAAAGTCCGCCAAACTGAGAGTTAGTTATAGTTCACTTTCCTCGGCTTCCCTCTCCAATGGCTCTCATATCTCCACCTCCAACTCTTCCGTCGCTGCTCTAAATACCAGACAGTAGCCATGGCGGCAGTTGCAACAGTACTGCTACCGTCGGCAATGCACAGGGTCTCCCCGTCTTCACTCACCCGCTCGTTAGCTTTCTCGATCGGTGATGATGGTTTCCGTCTTCGATCCCCATTCAATTCTCGTCGCGTCCGGGATTCTTCTTCCGGTAATTCTCGTATTGCAGTTCACTGCGTCTCGAATACAGGTTTGCAGAAGTGTTCTTCATTTCTATGCAGTAATTTGTTGGATAAAGGACAACCAGTTAGTGGCATTCGGAGTGATTGATGTATAATCCTTTTGTTGATATTAGGCACGTCAAGGGATAAGTTGTTCCCTTTGGCCTCCACTTCGACTCCATGCAGAACTATTCACTCTGGGTTCAAACAGTCCTTTCCGTGGAGAGAGTTGTCGGCTCGATTTGTAGCTACGGAAGCAGTGGCGAATGATGCAGTAGGGGTTCCCAGTCTACCTCAAGAAGAAATGCCTCCACGGGTGTACACTTGGCCTTATAAGAAGGTGGGTTTTGGCTGACTGATTCCTGTTCTTCCCCAGGTCTCGGTTTTGGAAGATTGTATGTCTTGGGAATTTCAGTTCACCAAGATACATCTATTTCGATCTAATTGCTTACTTTAACTTCAGCTCTGGATGATCAACCCACTTTTTAACAGCACAGCTTTTGGTTGTAATGCTGCAGAACCCGAGGGTGTGCATTCTAGGCGGTGGATTTGGAGGCTTATATACTGCTTTGAGACTAGAATCACTCGCTTGGCCGGATGATAAGAAACCTCAGGTAATGACTGACTAGCATTTAAGTGCAATATTGAATTGAAAGTTGTCCTGAAGAATTAATTCTGTTCAAGTGCTTCGTAATTTAAGCATGATGGATTTCAAGTTATGTATAGACTTCGGCTCTATTGGGGTTACTTGATGCGCATGTTGTCCCTGGTGTGATCATGATACTTGGGTGTTCCATGGATCAGTATCCTTAATTGTGTTTCATCCCCAGTATCTCTTCTGTTCGATGCTCTAACATCCTTAATTTTCCCAAATTTGCTGATCAGGTGCTCCTTGTTGACCAAGCGGAGCGTTTTGTCTTCAAGCCCATGTTGTATGAGATTCTTTCAGGAGGTACTTATATGCCAAAACCCATTGAATGTATTATTGATATGGGGAATATATACAGCAAGAGATGGATACAAACGTACAGAAACAGTCTGCCTACTCCTAAGCAGTTGTGGGTAACTAAGTAGCTGGAAATAAGGAACTGAATACAGAGTGGTTAGAGACTAAGTCAATACACTTTATCAGTACTAACTATTTCTTTCTATGATAATTCATTTATTTGGTTCTTATTGGGTTGCGTTAAGCAAATTTGAATGAATTTCCTAAAGTACCTACTAAAGAATTCCAGTATCAGTGCAGAAGTGGATTCTTGGGAAATCGCTCCCCGCTTCGCGGACTTGCTTTCAAACACTGCTGTGCAGTTTGTGCAAGACAGGGTAAAAGTTCTACAGCCATGTGATCACTTGGGAATCAATGGGTCAGCAAAATCTGATTCTGCTGGTACAGTCCTGCTACAAAGTGGCCTGCTGATAGAGTATGACTGGTAAGTAGTTTGTGCAGTAATTTGCTAGCAATTCTTAGTGGTGAACCTGTTTACTGGGTGGGTAACAAGAGCTCACTGTCTCCTTTAATGCGCATAAGTCTCGTTGTTGAGAAAAGGCCCAGAAGTTTGGGCTCGTTTGACCAGACTCGTCCACTAAAGAAATATAGTTCTGCCCAAGACTTTGTTAGTATAGGTGTGGCTGTGGTATCTAATTCACCTGAAGGATTTGCATATTGATCACTTATTCTAATCTATGCTCAGGTTGAAAAGATTGTTTTGTTTCTTATGCAATATTAGATGTTCTACCTGATTCTACTCCCTATCCTATTGGGCAGCCAGGCTGGTTCTTGCTCTGGGATCTGAAACAAAACTTGATGTTGTGCCAGGGTCAGCAGAGTACGCATTGCCATTTTCTACATTGGAAGATGCTCTTGTAAGAGTTCAGTTTTATGATTTACTGTTGGAACATCGGATCCTAAGTCTTCTAGGTTGACCTATTTTTGCAAACCTTTACGTTACTGCAGAAGCTTGACAGTAAGTTAAGACAACTGGAGAGGAGAAATTTTAGTAAGGGATCTCCAATAAGTGTATGTATTGTCGGTTGTGGTTATGCTGGAGTAGAGTTGGCTGCTACCGTTGCTGAGAGACTGCAGGATAGAGGAGTAGTACGTGCTATTAATGTGGAAAGTATGATCTGCCCAACTGCTCCACCTGGCAACAGGGAAGCTGCACTTAAAGTAAGATTATGGATTACGATAAGATAAAATTTAGCAACTCTTTAAGATTTGTGAATTTGTGAATGACATCAAGACTCAAGAATCATGCCTGAAGTTAGCATGTTGATACGATTTTGAACTTCTTTTTTCGTTCCTGCTACTGAAGCTGTTTATCTAACATAGTTTTTCTATTGGAGTTAGGTTCTCACTTCCAGGAAAGTTGAATTGCTATTGGGTTACTTTGTCCGTTCCATCCAAAAAACAAGTGACTCGGATTCTGAGAAATACATTTTGGAACTGCAACCTGCTGAGAGAGGAATGCAAAGTCAAATCCTTGAAACAGATTTAGTGTTATGGACTGTGGGGTCTAAACCTTTGCTTTCTGAGCTGGAACCCCGTGAACAGCCTCTCGAGCTTCCCCTTAATGCTAGGGGCCAGGCCGAGACAGATGAGACCCTTCGTGTCAAGGGTCACCCACGGATATTCGCTCTTGGTGACTCATCTTCTCTCAGGGATTTGAAAGGGAAGATACTTCCGCCAACTGCTCAGGTAAACTTTTTTCCTGTAAAGATGTAATTGTTGAACATCCATCTTCAATTTGTATGTTACTTCCGCCTGATGTGTCTGAGACTTGCTTATGTTTTCCATTCAGGTTGCTTTTCAGCAAGCAGATTTTACTGGTTGGAATCTTTGGGCTGCAATTAATGACCGTCCATTGTTGCCATTTAGGTTGGTTAATGACATAACTTGTGAATTCATCCTATATTATCGGGCTAATAATATTTCTACTGTGTGGTTTATCCATCTCTAGTCAATCCAATTAGTAAACAGGCACTGCACCGTGCCTAGTAAATACGAATTGGATGACTCACATGCCAATGATGTTAAAAAAAAAATCATGTTTTACCGGCTCTTAAATCCCTCGCCTGCTCGATTTGCCTTGACGAATGTGTTGACACCACTGACAGGTTCCAAAATCTGGGCGAAATGATGACTCTGGGACAGAGCGACGCTGCTGTATCACCGAGTTTCATCGATGGGCTAACCTTAGAAGGTCCTATCGGCCATACCGGTACACTACAGTCTTCTCTTCTAGCCATGCTATCCGTACCAGCATATACCCTTTGTTCACTCTCTCGTCTATGTTCTTCATTCCGAGTTCGTTTCTGTGATGATGCAGCTAGGAAAATTGCGTACTTAATTCGGCTACCAACGGATGAGCACCGGGTTAAAGTCGGGCTGAGCTGGCTGACCAAGTCTGCCATCCAGTCGATTGCATCAGTTCAGGACACCCTTACCAAGATTGTTTCAGGATCATAGCTGGCCAAGTCTGGAAGTAATGTATAACAGTATATACCGTTGGATATTTAGTGAGGGGTTGAACATCCTCTAGTGTGCATATAGGTGATTCACGTGTAAGCAACTGGTACTGATGAATCTTTTCGCCCATATATCGCCAATTAGAATAAGGAAATGTCAGCAGATGCTCAATATCTATAGCACAAGTCGTCTTAGGACTGAATGAAGCTCATTTCGCGGTAGGTTGTTTATCTTTCCATGAAAGATCCATGTTGAGGAATATCTATATTGACGGCAACTTTGACTATACCCTAAAGAAATATTTACTTCTTTGTACAACATGATGATCGTTTCACTCATTTTTACGTTTTCTCGTTGATTGTTAATATCTACTAGAAAAAATGCCCGCTGCTACGCCGCGGGAACTTAAGTTGCAACAGTATAATCATATGGTGGCCAGTTTAGATGAAGCGTACAATATGCAAAGTTATTTGTACATACCGTCAAATAAGTTCAACAATATGTAAAAATCACTTTGGTAATCAACTTATTATGAAGTCTCTGAATCATCCGTTCTGTCCACTTTGTATTCACACTTCAAGATTGAGAAATGGGCTTGCTTGGTGATGGAGTTACGCCCTGGTGGTCATTCCCTCGAGCAAAGGCTAACTGGAAAGTTCTTCCCTGAGCATTCTGCCCTATTCGGATTCTTTTCCCTTAATTGCTCTTATTGTTGTTTCTCTTCATACTAAATAATGGCTTCAATCCGAGTACAGACAGATAGAACCCATTCATTCAGCAGTAGCAGGAAAATAGCTCCTTCAGCTAACAGCTATTTACTTTGATGAATAAAAGATATTTAATCAAAGTTTGTCCTAAAAATGATCCAAAAGCGATGACGGTAAAGTTACTACACAATATACATACCATCATGTAAAGTAAACACATGTAAAAATTAGTTGAAAACAACATATTTGAGCTTTGCACTGTCTCAAAGAAAATGGAATTTTAAGCAGCAAGATTTGTTACCTTCTCTCTGTGGTCAGAAATTGCATCATGCAGTCCGGATTTCTGTTTGTCCGAAGGCAGCAGACTCTTTAGGCAGCTCCCAAACATGTTAATGACATAGTATAAGGTTCATGCTAATCGAATTACCTACAGCCCATGGCAGAAGATCATAGAGAAAAGTATGGCCTATGCATGAGGAAGAAGGTACAGATTCAGTTGTAGCCTGGAACTCGGTATGTGCATGGTTTAGAACTTACTATTATGTGTTCTTTATTTCAGCAAGCATTGTCATCTTATACTTTCTCAGGAGGATCTGTTATTTAGAAAGTACCTAGTGGCCCACTCCAAGCAAATATAAAAATAAAAGAACTCATTACCTTAAGCAAATTCAAATCATGCTCCTCTGAAATGGAAAGGAACACAATTTTATGACTGCAAAGCAATCTGCAGATAACAACCAATTGGCCAAAGGAGAAACGGTGTAAAAGAAGTGAAATATGTTGTCCAGCAAGTAGAGACCACATTTCATTGTCCAATTAGACCCACAAATATCTGAAATCAAGCCATTAAACACTTACTCCAACCTGATAGAGTTGTGTCCCTTCCGTAGCAGCAAAAGGACCAACAAAATAGCAAACAAAAAAAGCATATTCCAATAATTGCAGGTAAAAAGATAGTTGCAGTTCCCACTTGAGTAGACACAGTTGGTTGTAGAGTCACTAATAACATGAAAAAATAACATTATCCCTCCTTGCTGCATCCAGTACCAAACCTCAACATATGACAACAAACGCCCATTACTGGGATCCAGTACCAACCTAACTGACCTATGAAGGCACTAATGGAAGGATATTGTGAAGCAATTGCTAGTCTTCTTCTTGTCGAGCCAGCCATACCAAACCTGGACTAATGATAATTATATAGGAAAACATTGGTACCCCAATTTTGATTACCATTAACCGTTTTCTACTGCAACTGCACATCCAAATCAAATTGTCGTTATTTCCATTAACAGTATCTTTCTCAGGCATGCTTGTTCCAGTGTTCATTCTCCGTTTTGCTTGGCCAAAGTTTGTCTTCTGAGAAAGAAAAAAAAAACAGAACCACCAGGCAATGCAATAAAACCACACAGGCCAGTTAGTTCTCCCCAAGAATGAAAAGCAAGGAAACAAAAAAGAAACATGCTCTAACCTATACAAATTTTAGGTTGCTGCTGGAAACGTCACAATTTCTACTTTCTAGGACTCCCGTACCATACAAAAATCAAGTAAAGATAAAACAAAAACTTCCATCTAATATAAGATTTCCTCATTGATCATACGAAGTCAAAATGTACCGATAATTATGCGGCCATTGCTAAGAGGTGTAAGTCCCCGCAAAATCAGTCCATAACTTGTTGAGCGTCTTCTTTCCTTCTCCTTCTGTGTTTTCTTTTTTCAACTTTTTCTGCTGCTTTTCTTCCACCACCAAGACAAATAGAGAATCCATAGCTCATTGAGCATTTCTTTTCCTTTTCCTTATATGCGTTCTCTTTTTTCAGCTTCTCTACTTCTTCTTCTGCCAACAAAACAAAGAGAGAGGTGGGGAAACGCTTCCAGGGAGCGAGTAATATTCCGCCATGCCGCCCAGTTTGGTGGATCCCCTTCCTTCTCGTCACTTCCTTCTCACCGTGTTCTTCCTGTTTCAAATCGATCCCGTCTTCCTCTGCTTTTAGGTTCCCGACGGCCAGCAGCAGGGGTAAATTTTTGGGCTTACTTTGCAAGAGAGAAAAAGGGGATCGTGGAGGGGGGAAGAGGGGGAAACATCTGCCTCCATCTAAGTACAATCAAAGCTCCAATCAAAGCCAAAAGGAGGAGTAGAGAGAGAAAGGCTGAGAATAAGGTTGAAAGGCTGAAATCGGAGAGGGGAAAAGCTCCCCTTCAGAAAAGAAAAAAAGAGAGAGAGGGGGGGAACCACGGTGGGTTGATGCTTCCATACGCTACCGCCCATGTCTACTAAAGTGCTAGTCGTACTCCTCTGAAACAGAGACTGTTTTGCTTCTCTGCCTCCATCATCTCGGCCTGGGCTTCTCTCTATTGGAGCCATGCTTGAATATAACCCTAATTATTCAAGCTTGTCAATTCGCATACGGAAAGAATGGGCCACGAATAAACCAAGAGGAGGCGGTGGGAGGGTGGTGATTTGAGATAGGCAAGGCGGCTGGAGCTGACAGACGGCAACGTTCATCGTGGAGAGCTTGTTGCGAGAAGAACCGGAATTCCCCTTTCAGCAAACGACAAATAATGAAACAGTAGTTGGAAGTTTGGGCAATAAAGTGTAGTCTGCTATTATATATAAGATAATCGTGCAAGCTTCCTTTATAAGTGGAATGATTATTCACAGCTATCAGGAATGCGTCGACTCTCTCTTAACCAGCGTATGTTCAGCATGGTAACTCAAATTTCATTTACCGAAGTAGTTACCTTAGTCCTTACAATACAAATACATGAAAAGGAGGAGAGGTACGTGGAAGAAAATAAGAGGGGGAAGAGGTACGTGGAAGCAAATTAAAGGATGAGATGAGATGAGCAAGCAAAGCAAGTTGCAGAGGTGTGTTGGATTTCGGGCGCACTTTTGGCCCTTCACTTGGATATTTCCTTATGCTTCAATGGATAACAGATTCATTAGCCATTACCACTTTTTTTCATATCCTCTCTTACTCCACGCTTCTTGTGTATATATAAACTATGCAATGCAAACAACACAAATATCCCACACACCACCTAGTATCTTGGACTTGGACCCAAAATATCTCTCAACCAAGGGCAAAAGATCTTCCCCTCCGCTCCCTCTTTCTGTTTTCTCTCAAGATGTGCAGAGGAGAAGAAGAAGAAGAACAGCAGCAGCCACTGGTTCCTTGCTTGCACTGCCAACCACAAGAATGCATCAGAATGGTAAACCTTACCCCACTACAGTGATCTAAACGGATGCATATCCTTATCTTTTCATGCAGAAATTATTGGCCCTGGAGAATGCCATTTTTCTTTGCTGAACTGTGATACTGTAAATTGTTGCAGGTTCAGCATTTGATAGAGAGGTGTTTGATACTTCGCATGAGCAGAGATGAATGCGCCACAGCACTCTCCAAGCATGCCTGCATTCATCCCACAGTCACACTCACTGGTAAGGAATCGACACAACGCTAATCTATGTGATTAGTGTCGCGCTTTCTTAATTACCTTTCGCACGAGGAAAACTATTGTGACTACATTACATTTGTACTGTATATCGTAGTTGTGTCATGATAGTATCTCATATAACAATGTACTGTTTTGATTTGATTTTGCAGTGTGGGAAGGATTGCTGAAAGAGAATAGAGACTTCTTCCGGACTTACTCTAGAATTATTTCTACGGATCAGATCATTAATTAATTTCTTTCCGCCTCCTTGATGGCTTTGCACATGTCATAACCAGTGATTTTGATCATTATCCCTGTGGAAGAAAGAGGAAATGATTGATCGTAATTCATAATTCATATCATTCTATAAGAAACACTGTTGTGCCATTAATAAGCAGTCCAATGGCCTAGCTAGCAGGATCGCTAATTAAGTTGTCTAGAGGTAAGAAGCAAAAGCTAAACGTTAACGACAGCGAAATTCTTTTCCCTCCTCCTCCGCGTCCTCACGCGCCGCCGGCTGTGGCGTCGGCGGTTGGTTGCGCGCGAAACTCAAACCGCACTTGCCGCAGGAAACCCTGTCGCCGTGATCCGCCATGAAATTCCCCGGTTCGCACTTCGGGCACTCCTTCCTCAACCTCTCCAGCACACCTGGCGAGTCTTCATCCCCGCCGCCGCCCACGACCTTGTAAAGCTTGAGCACGGGGAGCTTCTCCTTCTCCTTGTCCTTCTTCTCCTTCTTGGGCGTGCTGAACACCTTCTTCTTCCTCTTCTTCCCTCCGCCGCCGCCGAGGAGCCGCGGGAGGAGATTGACTGTCGCGAACTGGTTCCGGATTCCGTACTCGGCTAGGGTTCGGCCGTCGTCATCGAGGAGCTTGCCGCCGTGGATCAATTGGTAGTATTGTTCGTCGGGCCGGTGGTCCGAGATTGAAATTGCTCCGCCACGGGATTGGATTGCGGATTTGAGGTCGGCGATGGTGTCCGACGGCGTGGCGGACAGAGTTAGGGTTCGCTGCGACGGTAGGTTTACGAATATCTGCATCTCGTTCTATCGGGTTTTCCGAGCGGCGCAGGGAGGGAACGAAAGATGAGTGGTTGCGGTGGCGGGAGCCGGGCGAACTTTAAAGGTGTGATCTCTGAAAGGCGGTGGCGCTCCAATATTGGGCTTTTCGGGGAGGTAATAGTTTAGCCCAATTGAACTTTTGGCCCGTATTGAAAGGCTTGATCCATTATCTATTTTACCATCATTATTAAGTATTAACCATGATTAGATGGAGTTATTTTGGGACCCCTATCCTTGTTGTACTTGTATTGTATTGTATCCCAACTCCCAATCTTGTCGACCCACTCAAAGTCTCAAATTGGTCAGAAGCGACAATGTCAAATAACAATAGAGTGATTTCTAATTTGAGATTCACTATTTATTAACATTTCTAATTGATAAGACCGTAAATATTATTTCTGAATTTTAGTATGTTGTGTGTAATTGTGTATGACAACGACATATATTGATATGCATTCTCCTTTATTTCTCAATTAGTATTGTCAAATAAATTGAATGTGTTCACTTTTATGACAATAGGTGCAAAACCTAATTACTATCAGGGTTCAAATAAATTACCTGATCCTATAATCAACGGTATACACAAAGATTGGATTCCATGGTTCCAATTCTATTTATCTTCCTCCTCCTCTTACTCTTACCTTAGCTTTGGCTCTAACTCTTCTGTTTTCACTGATCTTATAGATATAAAAAATGAGAAAAAATGCAACTTTAAAAATTTAGCTTTTGTCTATTACCAAGAACATTCAAGGCACGGACGGCAAATAGATGAAAGCTTTCAAGGTTGATTTGGAGGTGGATCCATTATTGGAACTTGACAAATTAGAATAATATTAACATATTGGGGTAAATGGTGGGGTTTGGTTTAGATCTGATCATATAATGTAGTTCATGGTCTAAATTAAGAGGCTGGAGTATAGATCATATCATATATAGGTCCATATTAAATAATGGATGTGCAATCTGATCCAAATAAACAACACTCAATAAAAAATAAATTAGTTTTTTGGTCAATCACATGAAAATTGAACCAATAACAGAGAAAAAAATATTTTTTCTTAAAATATAAATTCCAACATGTATGATTAATTTTGACACCCTAAATATCAGTAAATAACTAAGATGCAGAATCAAAGCATCTCAACTCGCACCATAACTTCATAAACATTAACATTGATGTCATACGTAGACACAATCATCTCTACTCTCTAGTGAAATATGGTTGTGAATAAAGGAGGGGACGATATTCTCAAAATTAGGGTTGAGACTTGAATCTCGTTAAGGGAGTTGGGAGAGTGGTCTCGACTCAGGTATGCATCTAGAGATTAGCGAAGTTGGTTGGTTCCACGGGTTGGTTAGATAAACCGCGGTCTAAACCAGAGCAAGAGATAAAACATCAAATAATATAGACCATGTAACGGACTGTTCTTAACGATCTACGATTCAGACCAAACTATGCAATATGATTTTATTCACAATTTTTCAAACGGTCTGTTATCAGTTCTAATAAATATAGTCTATAGTTGATCGAACAATTGAGATTCATGAAGATATATGGATAGTGTTAAAGATATATTTCATAATTTTTTTTTTATCTCATCAAATAGGAGGACATACATTTTCAACATATATATACACAACTATCATTCGTCTGATGTTCATCATGATCGAAAACTATATGACATCCACGTGTTCCATGAGAACAAACCTTGCTTATGAAGAAGATGAGTCACCCTTTAATTGTTGTATTATTCCATGGGATAACGTTTATCAAATCTTTGAAAGCCTTTATTTTAATACAAAGGATTATGACACCTTTTCGTATGGATGACAATTGTTTGGGTCGGAACAGAATAGTGCATATCCATTACCCTACTCAAAATAGTTTGGGTTTTATTCATACTCATACTCACATAAGAAACAAGTAGAAAATCAAAATCATGCTCATACCCGTTAGGGTATTCACGATTATCCATGGATAATAATTTCTCTTTACAACTCCAACTAATATGTTACCATTCACATATGTTCTCAGATTACATAAGCGTAAAAGTACGACAATAATTCACTAGAATGAAGAAAATAAATTAAAACAATCCCATTTAATGAAAATATTAGATTTATATGCTAAATATAAAATATCTTAGAGAAAATTAATGATTATTTCTAAACAAAATACATATGCATGTTATAATAGGCCAGTTGGGGTTGGATAGTAAGAAAAGTGAAAATCATGTTCACCCATTACACAAAATATTCGAGTTCGGAATTTACTCGTACCCATTAAAAATTCTTCGAGTTCGAATTTTACCCTACCCGATTAGTTCGAATTTGGACGGATATTCACAATTACCACAGATATCCACAGTTTTCGTTGCTGATGATAAATAATCTTTCCCCCCCATTAAATTAATGATGATAAATAATCTGCATGTGGAGTATTCTGAAAACCCAATTTAGTAAGGTGGGCCCGAATGCTCAGTGAATGGGCTTTTATTATTTTAACCCAATTATCGACATGAAAGAATAATCAAAATATTGCGCGACTTTCCCACCTTACAGTTTTCCGTTTTCCTGCCTCCACAAATGGAAGACTGTTCTCACGCCTTCCATTGAAGCGAAGTCCTCCACCGCTTGAGAGCTTGCCGGCGATCGTCTCTCTTCCATTCCACCGCCCCGACACGACGAACCCACCTCCCTCTTCACCAGTGGCGGAGCCAGCATTTCAAACCACCCCTGTCCTTTTTTTAACAATCATAGAGAGATTTCATATTGTTAAAGAAACGCAAAAACATTCGTCGTCTACACTATTAAATAAGTCTTTTCAATGTATCTCACTAAATTAACATTAGCAAATTGGTCGCCAAATCGATTTGGAAACTTGTTCTTAATATAACTCATAGCTGAAAAATGCTATTTTTACATTTGCAATTGTAATTCGTAGAATCAAAACTAGTGGAATTGTCGTTGTCGCTAGACAATTTCAGGGTTGTTGGGAAAACAAATCGAATAGGCATAAGGAGAAAAGAGATCCGATTAGGTCTTATTGCAATTAGAATTCGTTTATAGTATAATAAATTAATTTTATGTCAATTTATGAATAAGTAATGAGTTGTGCTGTAGTGACAAAAATACTCTAATACTACCTATAGACGTTGTTTTACATCACCAATATACATATATATAACATATTTTTGTTCTCCAAAATTTACCCCTGTCCCGGGACAAGGCCCAATGACCCTCCCTCCGCCTATGCTCTTCACTCGGATATTATAATTCCTACCATCGTCGCCTTTGAATGTAAGAACCGCTGCTCCCTCTTTGCTGATTCTTCTTCGTTGTTTGTCGTTTACCGCCATTCCAATTCGCTCTCAGATGGTGGGTAGCTCGAATTTTGTTGTATCTTGAATGTCGGTTGGTTCCTAGCCTTACTTCGCTCCATCTTCCGGTCTTTTTCTTGGTGCCCTGCATTCGAATTTAATGCAATCGATACCCATCTCCAAACGTTGATGTTACGTTTGAAGTAGAATTTCTTCTTCAACAAGATCCAGTTTTTACCTTTCACATGCGATTTCTCATTGGGGGTTTTGAATAGCTTTCACCAGTTTGATTGGCGGGTTTTTGTTCTGGCAGCACGATGATGCAGGATTTACTGGCTTCTTCTCCTGATACGACCAGCTTGAGCTACTGGTTGAACTGGAGGGTGTTGCTATGTGCAACGTGGGTTTTAGTGCCTTCCGTTGTGGCAGTGTATATTATATGGAAATACGAAGGTTTGGATCATTTGGGATCTTGCAGCAGGGAGGAGAAAAAACTTCAGCAAGAGAAGGAGAAACCCACTTTGTCACACAGTGATGCTGTTTGGAAGCCGTGTCTCGACCAAATCCATCCTATTTGGTTGTTGCTTTATCGGGTTGTGTCGTTCTCTGTGCTTCTGGCGACTATGGTTGTAAAGCTTTCCAGCAGTGGAGCTCGCATGTATTTCTATTATACACAGTATGGTTCTTTCACTATGAATCTCAATGAACTTTCAGCACAATTCTATTATACTGGGGATGTAGGATTGCGAGTTCTCCTTTAGTATGGATTTTGTTTTCATCAATGCCATGCTTCCTCTTGGCATTTTCAGCCATTTTGATTACATTCTAACTTCAACTTTTTAACTTTTGGGTTCTGGTGGCAGGTGGACTTATAATCTTGTGACAGTCTATTTTGCGGTAAGTGTTTTCGCTTGGTTTGTTTCTTTATTAACATTCTGCTGAAAGTTGTAAGGCGATTCAATGCAAAGCCTTCTTTGTAAGAATATACACATCAGTTTGTTATCCCAATGGTGTGCAATAGACCTATGGTGAAATGTAAGAGTCTGTCTGAAGAAGCATTGCCATCTGGGCACTTGCAGCATTAAAAAATATTTGCTCTACCCTGAATGCAGTCTGGCCTTTACTTGTAGCTTGGATCACTGCTCTCGGTTTATGGATGTTACCGATTTCACAAGTTGAGGGTCCATTATGATCGAAGGGATTACGAGCAAGGGTATATTGCCCCTCTACTAACTGAGGAAAGTACAGATGTTCGTGAATTGAGGAAAAAAGCAAACGGCGGAGGAGAAATTTGTATTCAAGAAATTCCTATTGTTTACTACATATTTCAAACCATATACCAGGTAGATAACATCGCAAGCTGATTTCCGTGAAGCTTCCTTTTGGGTTGTGTTACCACCTCATGGTTCTTCTGATCTCTTTCTTGAAACAGATATGTGCTGGAGCAGTTGTTTATACTGATTCCATTTACTGGTTCATTATATTTCCATTTCTTAACATTGCAGATTACACTGTCAACTTTGTAAGTACCGCTTGTCAACTGTATTTTTGTTATACTCACCACATTGCGGCTTTTGTTTCCTTTACCTAGAATTCTGATACTTTCCTTCATTTACTTTACAGGTAACTATAGACATGCATACGCTCAACGCAGTCTTGCTCATTGGTGACATGGCTATGAATAGCTTGGTAAACTGCTGTTGTTTGATTTCTCTCTCTGTTCCTGTGAAGTCTCATTTCATTTCCGTTCAATAATATCTGAATTGTATATGATATACTTCATTTCTTGCCAGCCATTTCATTGGTTCCGGATAGCTTACTTCATTCTGTATACCGCTTCTTTCGTCCTTTTCCAATGGGCTGTTCATGCCTGTACATCTATTTGGTACTTCCTATATCCTAAAATCTTTCTTCCAAACCCAAAACCAGTCTTATGCACATATTTTGTTTTGCTAATCTCCATGAATGATGTTCTCTGTAACTTCAGGTGGCCATACCCATTTTTCGACTTGGCTTCACCTTATGCTCCATTGTGGTATGTGTCTCAAGACTGAAAGTTTTTAGCTGTGGTTATACATGTTCTGATTTCCCTCTCACTCTCTTTGAAGGTATCTACTAATGGCGTCTCTCTCGGTCACATGCTATGGGCTATATGTGCTGGTTTTCAAGATTAAGCATTTCCTCCTCTCAAAATGCTTCCCCCAATCCTATCATTGCTTGACATAGTCCCAAACACATATACCTGATCTGTCAAGGTGGCGGTCAATCGATCTAGCACTGTGTTCTTCGTGGGTGATTTCAAGATTGTGCGCTCTAGAATTCATCAAATGGAGCTTCCAAGTTATAGGCAGGATGCAGAATTGCAGTAGAGATTCTTAAGAGCAGGGGAGCTATTAGGCTAGAAAGTGCACAGATTTGGAGAATGCTTATGCTGAAAGACCATTTCCCCTCTACATGGGGTTTAAGCTGGTCTTCTGTTTCCCTGTATCTAAATCAAACCATTTTCCGTTCTGTATATACTCCTACCCAATAAGAAAGATTAAAAAAAAAATTCTTCCTTTTATTTTATTGGTTCTTTACTAATTTTGTTTGTGCAATGCTCTAGGTTCAGGATATAATAACAAAATCTTGTAGGAACTGTGACGAAAACTCGTGGATAGAAGCATATACCAGCTTCATCATCAAAAAGCATAATATATGAGCCGTAACATTACAATATATCTATACAAAAAGTGTCGGCAATTGGCATCTCCATTCGACCATCAAGTTTACCAAAAACAAGCAGGGCGCCTTGAACAAACACCATGAACAACTCCCTTCAGAAATATGTCAAGCTCATAGCTTTTACAAACCCAGTAAACAATGGAACTTGACATCTCATAACAGTTCCAAGACCATGAATTTTCTAATTGTTGGGCTTCACGGCGTCTCCTCGATACACCCTCCACGGACCAGTATAGAACTTCGGAGTCATCAGAGGCACAACTTCCCCTGGGTGTTCTTCCCAGTACTTCTCCTGCTCAAATTTCACCCAAAAATTACCCGCCCATATTTTATAAATCGTTCTGTACGAAAACACAGGAAGCGAATTGAAGTGGGTGATCCTTAAAAACCAGATCCAATACCTTGTAACGCTGCTCGGTAATGGCGGCGCCGACGACCCCTGTGTAGAAGGCGGCGACGTAGATGGTGACGAGAGGGGTGAAAGATTTGGGCCGACGGTAGGGATCGATCATATCCCAGAGAATCGTTCTCTCCCATTTCGTGTACAGATAATCCGCGTATTTCCTCCATAGATAGCTCGTCATTTTGCCGCCGGCGGAGGAAGAAGAAATAGGAATGAAAACTGGGAGTGTCGAAAGAGAAAATAGTGCGAGAGTTGGCTGTTGGGAAAAAGAAAGAAAACAGTGGTGGAGAAGGCCGAGGCCCAGGGGCCGGGGTGCCTCCAATTTGGCCCATTAGTTAGTGGACTGGGGGAGCAAGCTAATACTAAGATTTTAGCTTCAGGCCCAACTTCATTAGCTTTCGGATGAAACTTACCCACGCCCACGCAAGCTTGTGTCATCGAACTAGTAGAGGTTTGTGAAATAGGGTGAGCAATGGTATTGTGCTAATTTTGGCTATTAGAGATTTAGAGGTACATGTTCTTAATCGTGGCGAGTTAGTCATTATTTTCGGTGGCGAATGTTTGAGTATTAAGAAATAAAGGAGGCAATTTTTTTCATAATAACTTGTCAAACAAAAGAAAAGGTTGAAAAAGATAAAGATTGAAATATCAGAAAGAGTAAAAATGATAAGGACCAAGTTTGAAACGTGTATATTAATTAATGGTCATACTCACTCCTATGGTACGTCGAGTCCAAATTAGGTGTCTTGGGTCGAGCCACGGATCGTAGCATGTCTATAAAATTAAATATGTCTCAAAGATTACAAAAAATAAGTCAAAACAAGTTAATTATTTCATTAACTAATCAAGACACAATAACCATTCTAGGGGCGAAACATAATATAATAATTAAATTATAATTAATTTAATTAATATATATAGGCACACAAGTCAATAACAAAAAAATTCAGTGTCGTAATGAATAATTTTTTTAAATTCATTCTACTAAACAAAATAATTATTAATCACCTCTAAATAGATAAAATAACACATGTCATTTCAAAATTATCAATCCATTGCTAAGAGTTTTCAGTCTCTTCCATCAAAACAAAGGAATATAATTTATCATCCAAAAGGAATTGGGCAAAAAGAGAAAAGTACCCTGTTTGCTTTCTCACTACAAGCTAAGCTAGTCTGAAGTAGTGGGAACTTTCCAACCAAACAACAAACACCCAACTACTTTACCCTACTAATCACACAACACATTTTGGGCAAAAATAATTATTTTGATTAGTACTAAAAAGGAAAAAGGTAAACAAGTGTAATTCCAAGTCAATAATGATTATTGTTTAGTAAATCATAGTCCATGGACTTGGTTAAAAGGGTCAATCAGGGAAGGTGCCACAAAACTTCGGAGTAGCTAAGAAATCAACAATTGGACTTTGATATTTTAACAAGTGTGTATGTAACTACAAACATATACCTAATAACAATTTTTCCCTAAATTTTTGCAGGGGTTTCTCTCCAAATTTTCTGTAACAACGTGCAACCTGAATCAGAACTTTTTTTTTAATAGAACTTGTCATATAGACCTAAAGTGCTCACATGATTATACCATTTCGTTCAAACTTCAATGAAAACACGCTAATTTCAGTAAGCGTCTGTACTCGCTCGTACAATTTCATGATCCCTTAATCCTTATACATACGATCCGTATCATAATCACGTTTATCCATAATAATGATGGATCCAATGATGTGGAGGTCCATTCACCCAATTCCTTCCACTTTCAACACTCAACACTCAATAAGTCCCATCCCATCGCCCTAGCTAGAATGTGGTATGTGGAAGCGGATGTAGCAGAGCAGTACTGAGAATTCAATTACTACTCATACTTCTCTTTCCCAAGAGTCTCTTGTAGATGAAGAGAAAGGAGAGATCATTAATAAATGTCCTAATATGGGTTTGTCTTCTAAACCTCTTTTCCTCCTATAGTTGAAGCCGGCCAACCTAAATCCATCTTTCTTAGCCACAAATTCCTCTTCTCATTGGTTCACAACTAAGTCTCTCTCTCTCTCTCTAGTGGTGTTGCATGTTCAAGAGAAAGTTTTGTTCAATTTGATTTCTCTTATTAATTAATTACAGGTTGGATGGAACCCTTTAACATTTCAATTCCACGATGGTTGTATCACATGCAAATGCCTCCTTTGTCAATTTGAAAGGAGAGATCCACTAGGGTTTCTTTGTCGTTTAGTGAGAGTTTGAGAGCATTTGGGGAAGTCTAGAACTATTACACTTTTAATACAAGGGTTTGTTTGATGGTTAGATTGTAATTTAATCATAATAGTTAGGGGTTTGATATACAGTGATCATGAGATGAGAAGGAGCTCTCTTCTTAGACAATCATTTATTACGTTGTTGTATGATCGTTCATGGTGAGAGGTGAAATAACATTGTTGGTCATAGATAAAAGTTTTGGTACCATATGAAAAAGTCTTACTCACCTTTCAGTCTTTAAAAGGAGTCAGATGGCTTAGTGTCTTCAATTATTTGCATAATTGGTACTTATATTTTATCCCAAAGGATTTTCCTAGAGTTGTTTTTGCTTAACGCCAACTCTCTGTAATTGATAGCACTTGAGAAAACTAGGTATTCTATTCAATTTGTGTCCTCGCGAGATGGCTATGCGTGTTACCTCTAAGTACTCATCCCACTAAGGGTTGATGGAGTAAGTAAGTGCAGTTTGAAGCGGACATACATGTCTTGTTGCATAGTCAATGAATGAATGAATCAACTGAACGATGTTAGATCATGGATTCATAAACATTATCTCTATTTATTTATAGTTAAGTTCATGATTTGGCAAGTAAATACAAGCAAAGAGAAACCAAAATAGTTAAAGAGTTAGGAAAAGTGACAATTGGTTAGGAAAAGTACAATAATCAACACTTGGGAGAGGCTATAAGGTACTTAGTAAGCCACTCAAAAGTAATTGGATGCTCTCAAGTCATAGTCTTTCATAAGGACCTCTCAACCAATTGGGATAGGGCCTTCCATATTGGGAATAAAGCCAATCCAACTTTCCCTAGGTAATGTCAAAATAGACACATATATGGCATTACAAAAAACTAATGATAAAGGATTACTTTGGAATTAATCCCCCAATCCTCCAATTTTCATTTTTTGTTTGTAAAATGGAGCACTAGATGGATAGATAGTGTTAGGAATCAGTCTCTTAATCAGAGCTAAAGGATACACGATAGAAATAAGTACAAGCATGCCCCATCACTATTGTTATCAAAATTAATTAGATAGCTATATTAATTCAAACTAAACCGAACCAAACATCATCACATGCTTTTCCCATAAATGTAACACGTATTGATGATCATTACACTCCCTTGGACTTGGGATTGTGTGACTCATAATTTTTCAGAGCACCTAATTCTTTCGTAATTAATCATTTGACTTCTGTCTTACTGGCAGTATGGATGTATAGTTGCGTGTACTCTAGAAAGTACTACGATTCGTTTAGTATATTTGTTCTTGAGGTTGTAACATGTACATGCGGTATATATGTTGGGCAAATTGAAAAGTTATGAGATTGTAGGTTATATGTTAGTCCATTCAAAGTATAGTTTTGATCTTTGAAAGAATGAGTTTGCACAACATACTTATGAACTCGACTCTTATAACTTACTATTAAAGAAAAATGCATACCAAAATCATTATTCTTGAATTTTCTTGATGTTTATGGGCTTGCATATTGCGATCAGTATATGTCATTTTGTATGTAATCAATGTCAACACACTACGAGATAATCAACTCCTCCTATGAAACAAAGTGAGGAGAAGACACAAGACAGACACCCTTTGATGCAATTGAACATTAGAATTAATGTCGATAATCCACTTCAATAATAATTTGTGTGGTCTCAGAATTTTCTTGATTAATTTGAGTTTTGAAAAAGATCGACCAGGCATTATTAGCTGTTTCCAGTTCAACTTTAATTATGACGTAATAGTTTTTATTAGCTAGTCAGAAGAAGTATATAGAACATAATTGTGTTGTGTCCTGCTGTCATGTACTTAGTTTGTTCCCTTTTGTTGTTTTCTGGGTTTATGTTGTGCTAGCTATTTCACCCACAATTTTTACCACTTATTGGTTCCAACTTTCAACAGTGTGATTAACTGAGAAAATATATATGTTGGATGAGCTTTTAACTCTGGTTGAATTTTACATGTGCTCATACATTTCATATTTGAAGTATATCATAACAAGAAAAGAGTTACAAAAAGAATTAAAGAGATAGGGAGAGATGATTCTTTCGTTACGATGTGTTGTCAATAACTAAATTGTACAATAATCGCATTTCATTATTTCAAAGTAAAAAAAATAATAGAAAAAAAGAATTTAGGTAAATAAGTAATTGCTGACTTTCATCTCCTTCTCTCTACTCCATAAAACTTATAGAGACTCAATGGCAAATTCTACGTCAAGTACTTGTTCATCTTCGTTACCAAACCCTTCATTAGATGAAATAAAAGTCCTTTTCCATTTGCTCAATTGTTGCAAAAAAAAAAACATACTTAGCTCAATTAACAAAAAGTGAAAAGCTATTAAACGACAAAGAAGATAAATCAAGTTGACTGCATGCCGACGATGGGATGTGACTTCACTGTCTCCATGACTCCATCCAACCGCACTGGAAACCCTAGCTAAAAGGGTTTGCTGATTGAGTACAAAAAATATGAGCATTTTGATATATGACAAATCCATGCACTTACTTTGACTAATAACAATATTCAATTAATCAGTGCACTGATCTCATATTGTGGAACATTCCATTAAGTATCACCAAATTCATCACATTATCTTTGACAAAAAAGTCACCTCATAATTTTCATTTTTAATGTATTACTTATAATTACGTATAAATTGACGTACATTGTAACATTTTTTTTACCAATTCTACGTAAAACTTCTCTATGCAAAAAATTTCTATCTCATAATCAGAATTAGTACATAATCAAATTCAGTTCATCTCAAACATTAAGTTCTAGTAGTTTATAAATAGTTGTAGGTGGATCACAGGACTCAATTGTTTGGCGGATCCAATCGAAAAGGAAAAGACTTTGTAGAAGTGGACTTCCACAGTTTCATTCCAACTTCCGTAGCCAGCCAGCCATAAGAGCAGAACCATTGGACTGAAGGAGAATTGTTATAAGTGGTTGCTATCATGGTTAAAAAGGCTTTCTTGCGAA